TGTGAGATGGTACAGCTGCTGTGCAAAGAGGCTGGCACTTCTTCAAATAGTTAAACATAGAATCACCATATGATCTAGCAATCTCACTCCTAGGTATATACCCCCAAGAGCTGAAAGCAAAAACTCGAACAGATACTTGGACACCAATATTCATAGCAACAATATTCACAACAGTGAAAAAGTGAAAACAACCCACGTGTCCATCAATAGATGAGGGGAGAAACAAACTGTAGTGCATTGGTACAAGGGACTGCACGGCTGTAAAAAAGGAGTGAAGTTCTGATATATACCACAACATGAAAGAACCTTGCGAACATGATGCTCAGCCAGACCAGGAGTAAAAATACTATATGATTCTACATTTAGGAGGTCTCTAGCATCAAATTCATAGAGAAAAAAGCAAAACAGGACACTAAACACTGGGAATGGGGAGTTCTTTAACAGGTATAGAGTTTCTGTTTGGGATGAAAAAAGTTCTGGAAATAGATAGTGGTGATGATTATACAACACTGAATATATTTAATACCACTGAATTCTACATTTAAAAAATGTTTAAAATGGGAACCAGCATATGGTGTAACCGTTATGTCACTGGACTCCCACCTAGTCGACCACAGTTCGAGTCCCAGACCCAGTGGTTTAAAATTCACACTGGGAGTGTGTGCATGCATGCCCAAAATCCCAACATGAAAATGGAGGAAAGATTGTGGCATGGCCATCTCCCTTGGGAGGTGACTTCTTGCTCTCTTTCTTTCTGACAAGCACACACACCCTATAGCAAACATCCCTTAAAAAAAAAAAAGGTTAAAATGGTAAGTTTTATGTTGTGTATTTTATAATTTTAAGAAAACAAAGAATTAGGACCAGCAGGTAGCTCAGTGGTTGAGGCGTTGGACTCCCAGATGGCTGACCATTCGAGTCCCAGATCTGGCAGCTTGAAACTCATGCCAGGCACATGTGTGTGTGTGGCCAAAATCCTGAGAGAATGGAGAAGGGATTGCTGCATCGTTATCCCCCCAGAGGGTGATTTCGCACTCTCTCTCTCTGTCTTTCTCTGTCCCTCTGGTGAGCGCATGTACCCTATAGCAAAAATATCTCTTAAAAAAAATTAGTAAGGCCGGTAAGTGGTGTGGTGGTTAAAGGCACTGGATTCCCACATGGCCAACCACGGCTTAAGTCCCAGACCTGATGGCTTGCTTTTTCACTTTCCCTTTCTCTTTCTTTCTGTCTCTGTGTGGCCAAATTTAAAATAATAAGTGGAATTAAATAAATTTTTTAAAAAGTAAAGAATTGTAAAAAGACTGTAACAATTTTCATTTTGTAGGATGCAAAAGCACATTCTACTTTCTTATACTATACCTAGAAGTAAATTTAAATGTGCATATTTTGTGCAGAGGCAGCCATCACTGTTAAAGATGAGTCCCTGTGAAGGCAGAGTTGTCTCCTGTCCTCCCACTTGAACCTGACATGGAAAGTATTCAAAGACCTTTTGGTGGGTTCACACCACCTTCTGGGCTTATATGCTACCCTACAAGATGCTGTGTCCTATGCTCTATCAGGGGCTATACCAAGATCCTACCCTGGTCAGAGAAATCCTTCTGTGCATCTACACCACAGAAGAAACAGAGGACAAACTTCAACTCCAGAACTTCTTTGGTAATTCATAAATCTATAAACCTTTCCTATTTTTCTTTAATTTGCCAGCGGACATGAGTGTTCACCAGAGAGAAAGAGTGGAAAAGCACACTCTCCTGGGATGTGGTCACACCACAATCCCTTCTTCTCCATTTGTTCATTCTGATGGGATTTGGGGTATGCATGCCCAAGTACCCAGCATGGTGTTTTTGGGATTTTTTGTTGTTGTTTTTAAGCCACAGTGTGGAGATATGAACTGCATGGTTGGCCATGTGCGATCTGGCTCCCTTAACCACCAGGCCATGGGGCCAGCCTTATCAATCTTCTCCATTCATGTAAATGTCAAGATGATATAGTTAACTGGCAGATGTGGTGTAATGAGCATATTTACAACCTTTACTAAAATCTTTCCTTGCATATATTCTGATTTACAGCCTTGATGCGATTTTCTTCAGGCCCTAGGCTTCAGAATCTATGCTTTGTACTTTTATTAATTTAAAAATCCTCTGGAATAAATGAAAGACACAGGGCTACATAAATATCTGGAAATAGGAAGAACTTACCTCAAGTCACACCATGAGGCAGCAAAGGTTTCCAAAACATCCACAAGGACTGTGCTTTGCAATGCATCTTAACAAGGATCTGCTCTTTTCAGACTTGCCAGAAAGCAGATTGGATGGTTAATGAGCAACCAGCCAGTAAGAGGCCTGCTTGGATCACCTGGGATGACAGGAGGAGGAAGAGGAGGGATGAGGAGGGAATGAAGCCTCACTGTTGGCCTGCTAGGTTTCACAACTTTATATATAAGCCGATGGCACCCAGGAGAAAAGAAGTTCCTTAACCTAATAAATATAAGAGGGATTTGCTAAAATTAAATTAAAAATACAGATGCTATATTTCTGCCTTTGTCTCTGATATTAAAATTATGAGATTTCCCCAAACACTGCAAATTACATGCTTTTATGTATACTTTTGTAAACTGAGTGGGTTTTCTTTAGATCACTAGACATAGAAAAAAATGAAAGAATCTATGTATCCTGTTGACTTTCATGTAATAATAGAAATATAAAAGAGGCAGGTCACTCCCTAAAACTGGCCTGAAGTACTTTCCTGTGATATATATTCAAAGCATGTATTTGTCTTACGTTTCTTCCTGAAGGAGTTCTCATAAGAACTCTTGCTATCCTTAGCACCTCAAAATCAGGAAGGAATCATTTTTGATCCTTCACATTGCACATATCTAATAATTAGCTAAACTACACAATAGCCATGAGTTTGCCACAATTTCATTCTTCTCTCAGCACCACCAATCCCATATTTGGCAGGAAAAAACCCTGCAGTTCTAGAGGCAGCACAAACTAATTACATTAGTTCATCCCTTGTTAACTTATTACACAAACAACCAAAAACAAATGACACCAAACTAGAGTAAGTACAAAAGCATGGCATCCTCAATTACATTTGCCAATAATCAGGACATGCAGAACAACATAGCACAGATGGACCAATTTCTGCTTCCATGGATTGTATTACAACCATTCTCAGCCTCTGATGAGCTGGTGCTCCACAGATTGTCAGTTTGTGAGACTCAAGCAACTGTGCCTTCCTCGCCACGCCTTCACTCAGCCTCAGCCATAAATTCACATCACCTATGAAAGCTATTTAAAAGATAAATGGGGAACCGGCAGATGGCATGTTGTTAAGGTGCTAGACTCTTGCATGGCCAACTGCAGTTCGAGTCCTGGACCTGGTTGCTTGCTTTCTCACTTTTTTTCTCTCTCTCTGGTGAGTGCACATGCTCTATAGCAAGTTAAAAATAATAATAAATAAAATTAAATAATTCTTGAAAATGGGTTTTCCTATTTATTGTAATTAATGATTTACACATAATCATTACACATCTTTGTAGAATACAGTGTCTTGAAAAGCATGTATACAATGTGTAATAAACAAATCAAGGATGTAAACATATTCGCCACCTTCAACATTTAACATTATGCTGTAAACATCTGACACCCACTCCAATGGTTATTCTGAAACTATGCAGAGTTGTCTATGACATTCTTTACTGTGAGATACAGTTCTAAAGAACATCATATTGATTAAAAATCAGGCATCAAACAACCCCATAAATTAACAAAGATAATACTAACACAGCCAATGAAAGAAAAAGTTGTCATTTCCATGTAGAGGACTATGGGAGATAAGAGTTTATTATCATCTGAAAAAAATACATGAGTATTTTGGTTCAGCAAGAAACAGGTAAAACTGTACAGAACAACTCATTAGAAAGAGAAAGAAAAAGAATATTTTACTAACACATTGTAAGTTCTTATAAGACCATAGTACTGCACTGTGCATAAAGAAATAAGTCTTAGAGAAAGCAAAGATAAAACAAAATTGGAAAGAGATGTTTACAGCTGAAGACATAGTAAAGCCAGTGATTTGGTGATTTATAGGCTTTACAAAGTTCTTGATTTTAGCCTTTTTTTGGAATTCATCCCAAAAAAAGATTCAGTTGTAACATTTTGGACTTTTCCTATATTACTAGTTTTATACAGCGAGTAATGGTCATAATAAATATATAAATTCAAACCTGTAGAGACAACTGCCTATCAAATAATTGGTGGATTTGTACTGAAACCTGCTTGAGTGTAGAATTGTTGAATTTATATCTAGTCCCAATATTCAATGTTACTATCAATATGCATGGATTTATCCTTTTTCTCTAGTTAGTTTATGTTCTCTTATTTCTATTTGTCTCTCTTTAGCTTTCTTGGAATTTACAGTAATCCCTTAAGTATTTCCTGAAGAGTCAGTTTTGTTTTGGTGAATTCTTTCAGCATTTGTTTATCTGGGAATGATTTTATTTCTCCTTCCCATTTGAAGGATAATCTTGCTGGGTATAGTATCTTAGCTGAAATTGCTTTTCTTTCAGCATTTTAAATATGTCTTCCTTTTCTTCCCTTGCCTGCATTATTTCAGCTGAGAGAGCCAATGTTAGTCTAATGGGTAACCTTTGTAAGTAATTTGGTGTTTCTCTCTTGCCAGTTTTAGAATTTTGTCTTTGTCTTTGATTTTTACTAATTTGGCTATGATGTGCCTTAGAGAGAGGGAAAAAAAGTTTCAAAAATAAATGGAGTTACTGGAACCAGCAGCTGACATAATGGCTATGTCGCTAGACTCCCACGTAGCCAACCATGGTTCGAGTCCTGGACACGGTAGCTTAAACTCACACCAGAAGTGTGTCCGTGCGAGTCCAAAATCCCGAGAGGAGAATGGAGGAGAAGGGGTTGCGGTGTGGCTGTCCCCCCCCCAGGGGGGGATTTCTCGCTTTCTATTTCTCTGTCTCTCTCTGTCTTTTTGGCAAGCGCACGCACCCTATAGCAAAAACCTCTCAAAAAAGTAAATAAATAAAAATAAATGGAGTTATTTAAAATGCCACACACAGTACAAACAGCTCATATGCATACATCAGGCTGCTGTAAGGGCACACTTATGTTTGTTTCTGCTCTTATAAAGCACTGTCCAGAGCACAATGACCCTGCAGCATCACATTAAAGAAAGCAGCCCCAGAAAAGGAATGGATATGTTCCCTAATGCAACTTCAAGGCTCAACTTAAGCAGCAACTCACAATCACACACCATGGTGGATTCTCCTGTGTTCTCTGCCAGTGGCCAAGAATCTCAGCTGGATGGTTTGATGAGTAAACAGAGAAGACAGACATACATGGGGTCCCTGGTATGCGCACACATCCATGTCTAAGAAGGGAGATGGAGCTACCATTTCATACTTTCAACTAACAGCATGTGTTCTAAGACATGAGGCCATTTTAATATCTGTTATAGGAAAAATTGGACTTTTGAATGATAGCAAAGATGAGTTTTTTCTACCAACTAAGTATATGCATTTTAAAATACAAAGGAGGTCAACTTTCCAGTATCAAGTTTATATTTGAGAAAGCAATATAACAATGTAATACATCAACTCCTCTGACTTTCTTTATTCAAAAATAAAAGGACAAAAAATATACAACTAATAGCCAATGTCATCTGAAATAGCAGATCCACCAGAAGATTATAAAGGTAAACTTGCATTTTGGGGAATTTAATTGCAATTACTAGAGAGGGAATGAATTGTTTTTCAAGGAAATGTAACTCGGGAAAATGCTGACCAAGGGAGTGGGTGGTTAATCTCCCATTTTTATGGTGACCCTACCGGTCATAAGCAACTAAACAGTAAAAAGCTGCTTTAAGATGACCTCTCTTCAGGTAGCATGGACACAGGGTTTTCCAGAGGACAGACTCTGCTCAGCCTCCCCATGCGAGATTAACCAACCACTCACCAGCACTTTCACTTCCAGGAAGAAGTTATGTGGGATACAAACAAATTCATACCCATCTCTAGTCAATCACAATTTGCCATCTCTACCACATGGTGCATGGCAATGGTTCTAGATTACAAAGTGAGGGATCTGGAGAGGGGAAGAGATACTGGTATCTTCACCAAACCCCTCGGAGGCTGTGCACCTACACATTGTGATCCAGGGCACGGAGGTCTTCCAGGAGCTCTTGGGCTGCAGTCTTTAGGTGGGGATTGCGGCTCTTGGACATGGCCAGGATGCGCTGCAGGGGCAGGGAGCTCCGGAACTCAGAGGCTGATTTGGAGAAGACTTCTGGTTCCAGAACCACAGACTGGACAAGCCGTAGTACATGAAGACATACTTCTGCATCTGGATCTAGGGGAAAGGGAAATGCTTCCAGTTAGAATGAACCTTTCTCTAGCAATTCACCCCTCAAGAGGTTCTTAGCCTATCTTTTTTTTTTTTTTGGAGAGGTTTTTGCTATAGGGCGCGTGCACTCGCCAGAAAGAAACAGAGAGACAAAGAGACAGAAAGCCAGAAATCACCGTCCAGGGGGATGGCCACGCCGCAATCCCTTCTCCTCCATTCTCCTCTCAGTATATTGGGCACGCATGCACACGCACCCGGTGTGAGTTTAAGTCACCAGGTTAGGGACTCGAACCACAGTCAACTACATGGGAGTCCAGCGACATAGCCATTACGCTAACTGCTGGTCCCAGCCTTTCTGAGTGATGAGCTAAATAGATAAATAGAAACTATGGGCTAATCCAGAACCACAGCCACTTCATAGTTTTAAAGCTTGGTTCAAAAGCTGCATAACAGAGCAGACAGGTGATGTGGAGGCTAAGTCACTGGATCCCACATGTCTGGCAGAGCAGTTTGAATCTCAGACCTGGCAGTTTGAAAATCATGCCATGCACATACATGCAAACATGCCCTAAATCCCGAGAGGAGACTGGAGTAGAAGGGATTGCAGTGTGGCCATCCCCCATAGAGGGTGCTTTTTCACTTTTCCTTTCTTTTTGTCTCTCCCCTGTGAGCCTACATGATCTATAGCAAACTAAAGAAAGGAAAAGGGGGGAAATTTGAAATATAAAATTTTAAAAGACTACCACATTTACAATAGTACCAAAAACATGTAAGTATAAATCTTATTAAATATGTGCAAGATTTATATGCTGAAAACCACATGGGCTCACTGGCCAATTGAGGCACATGGGGATTCTGAACCACACTGTCCACAGCCAAGGCTATGTACCCTGTTCCTTGGGCACCTGGAAACATGGATTGGACCAACAGCAAGAGCCCCGTGCTGATACATTTTAAAGAACAGGGAGAAAAGGCAAGGCAGGGAAATCATCCTCTTTGGCCCCAGACTGGCCTCTAGTTATTGCCCAGTTTTGTTTCGCTTTCCAGCAACTTTCTAGAAGAAATCATCTGTTGCTGCTGCCACCCTTGCCTCAACACCTGCCATGCCAACTGCTTATTTCCCCCTCCCAACACACTGTCACCCCTCACTCCCTGAGACAGCTCCTTGCAAGGCACCAATAACCTCTATGTTGTCCCTGCTTGGCTCCTGTCTCACCTGACTCCTCTAGCCACAGCTGACCACTCCCTCCTCCTTAAAACATTCTTTTTTGGGTTCCACAGCATTCCTTCTTCACTAGGTCCTCTTTTCCTTCTATCTGTCCTCCAGATATGGGAATACCCCAGGGCTCTGTTCTCTACCTATTCTCCTTAGGTGACACCTCATTTACGACTCCGTGGCTTCTGCCAGTGACTCTCAAATCCATTTCTCTAACCCTAGACTCTCCCTGGAATTCCAGGTTTCTTATCTGAAGAAACCTGTTTGGACAACTCCCCTTGGAAGTCCACTGCTGACACAGGATTCACCAGGACAGATCTTAACTCCTGATTCTCCATGCTCCTTCTCATCTGCTCCTCCTCTCAATAGACAGCATCACCATTCATTCAAACATATAGGTGCTTTATTGATTCTTCCCTTCTCGTCTCATATCCTCGTCTTCACTTCTCCTTTTCTGTTATCCTCTAATACACCCTAAACCCACAGCCTTTACCCTAGACTATTCTGCCTCACCTAGACTACTACAATAGTCTTCTCAGTAGCTTTCTTACTGCCTAATTCCATTCTTTCTTCCTCTAGTCTGTACAATCTGTCAAACTGCAGTTAGATGAAACCTTTAAAATGGAAATCAAAAATATGTCCCTTCTCTGTACTCCAGCAGATCCTCAGGGCACTCAGGGTAAAACTCCACACCTGGCTTACAAAGCTCCATCTGATCTAGCCCTCTGCTTTCCTGAATCATCTCAGATTCCTTGCCTGCTCTCACTGGGCACAGGAACACTGGCATGCAGTTGCTCTAGAGGCCCACTCTACCCAGAAAGTTCTTCCTCCAATCTTCATATGCCTGCTCTTCCAAATTTCAACTAGCAGTTTTAGCTCCAGCAAGCAAAGAACCTGGAAATCATCACTCCCTCCATATAAGAAGAAAAGATGAACAAATTGAAAAGCAGTAACTTTTCTTAGACCCCGAAGTTGCCAAGATAAACTGCCACCCTAAAATCTGGAGAATCACAGTGAATCTGTTTCCCCATAGAAGAACTCATGGAACTATAACTGACAGGAATATTTAAATGATCACTTTGACAAACTGCTGGAAACTCAGGATAAGCTACCATGAGACTATGGAACTCTAATGGGGTGGAAGGGGTGGTGGTCATAGACTAGAGGAACCTCACATTTTTGTGGTATGTGCCTCTAGGACCCACCAGGTTCTCATGGTAAAGAGTCAAGTTCTAATGTCTACGGCAGGAGGGGAGGGAGAACCACTGTGAAATACAACAGGTGCTCTCCACAACAAAGGCTCATCTTTATGAAAAGACTTTACCAAAGCTTTAGACCACCTAAGGCAAAGGTATTTCTTCCCCTCCAGGCCCCTCTGCCACTCATGACTCACCTGAGGAGGAGTGAGGCTAGGAAACACTTGTGAAGGTCACAGCCCAGTAACACAGGCCCATTAGAATACTGAGATTTAGCAAAGATGATAGGACACTTCTCTTTCTCCCACACCCTTTAAACTATACAACATACAAACAGATACAATACACACAACAGGGATTATAAAACAGGGTTATTACGGCTGGGAACTGCAAGATATAAATTCCTTCTAAGAGGAACTCTTCCAGGAACACAAAGGCAACAGGTGAGAATAAATAAGGACTCTAGGGTACCTGCCTTAAACACAGCCCAGTTCCTAGCCAGACTAACATAAAATCTCATACTAAAAGCCATTTCCCTGTTTCTATAACCCAATAAATCACGCCTAGTTTCCAGCCAAAAATTGTAAGGCATGCTAAAAGGAAACAAAGATCAAAGTCTGAAGAGACAAATCAAACATTAGAACTCAATGCAGAGATGGTAGATTTTGAAGTTATCAGACAAGGAATTTAAAATAACTATGATTAATGCTCAGGGCACTATATTAGTTTTCAGAGACTGCTATAATAAGATACCAATCTAGAGAGCTTAAACAACAAATTTCTTTTTTTATACTCTAGAGAGGCTGGAAGACCAAGATCAAGGTGTCAACAGGATTGGTTCCTCCTGAGGCCTCTCTCCTTAGCTTTCATATGGTATCTTGTCCCCGTGTCCCCACATAGTCATCCCTCTGTACCTGTGTCATCTCATCTTAAAAGAACATCAATTAGATTAGATTTACCTTAATTAGCTCTTTAAATTCCCTATTTCCGAAAACAGTTACATTCTAAGGGACTGAGTTTTCAGGATTCAACATAGGAATTTTAGAGGGGACTCTATACAGCCCTAAGGCGTTCTAAGGGAAAAGGTGGCAAACATGCAAGAATACATGGGTAACATAAACAGAGATGGAAAATCCAGGAAAAATCCAATTTCAACTCAAATATTACCTCCTCAGAGAAGGTAGCCCTTGCCACGGGCTCAACTCTCTTACCCTTCAGCCTATTTTAATACTCTGACCAACACTTATTCTATGAAATGGCCTCTCCCTTCTTGGAATTTAAAATAACTATGATTAATGCTCAGGGCACTATATTAGTTTTCAGAGACTGCTATAATAAGATACCAATCTAGAGAGCTTAAACAACAAATTTCTTTTTTTATACTCTAGAGAGGCTGGAAGACCAAGATCAAGGTGTCAACAGGATTGGTTCCTCCTGAGGCCTCTCTCCTTAGCTTTCATATGGTATCTTGTCCCCGTGTCCCCACATAGTCATCCCTCTGTACCTGTGTCATCTCATCTTAAAAGAACATCAATTAGATTAGATTTACCTTAATTAGCTCTTTAAATTCCCTATTTCCGAAAACAGTTACATTCTAAGGGACTGAGTTTTCAGGATTCAACATAGGAATTTTAGAGGGGACTCTATACAGCCCTAAGGCGTTCTAAGGGAAAAGGTGGCAAACATGCAAGAATACATGGGTAACATAAACAGAGATGGAAAATCCAGGAAAAATCCAATTTCAACTCAAATATTACCTCCTCAGAGAAGGTAGCCCTTGCCACGGGCTCAACTCTCTTACCCTTCAGCCTATTTTAATACTCTGACCAACACTTATTCTATGAAATGGCCTCTCCCTTCTTCCTTGACTGAAGCCATGCAAGTAGGCCTGCTGGGCTTACTCACCATGATATCTCCAGTACTTAAGAGTAAAACTGCTAATGAATGAAGAGGTTGTATTTTATGCAGCCAAGGCTGATGTGGTACAAATTTTAAGGGAAATTCAAAATCAAAGGTACAGTTCAACAGGATTTAGGGAGAAGTGAGGCCACTTGAATGAAAGAAGATAATCACCTGACACCAGGTCAATGATAAGCAACCATGCTGGAAACAAGTGAAAAAATAATTTCAGTAAAGAAATAGAAGATACAAAGAACAACAAAATGGTAAAGTTATAACTGAAAATAAAATAACTAAAGAAACTTGGTGGGAATAAAAAGAGGGGGGACATGGGGGGGTCAACTAGAAGGTAGGACAACAGAAATTACCCAATCTGAATGTCAGAAAAAAGAGACAGGAGAAAAGGGTACAGAGCTTTTGGAGCCTGTGGGACTATAACAAAAGACCTAACATTTGTGTCATTGCAGTTCAAAAAAGAGAAAAAAGTGGACAGCGCTGAAAAGTAGTTCAAAAAATAATGGCTTAAACTGTACCCTGTTTGGTAAGAGACAAAATCTAGAGATTCAAGAAGCCAAGAGAATATCAAACACGATAAACATGAAGACACAAAAAGTCAAACTTCTAAAACTAAACATAAAGAACAGTATCTTGAGAGCTGCTAGAGAAAAATGACACCTTATCTGTGAGGGAAAACA